AAAAATCCCTGTTAAAAAGGAAGAATACGTGGGGTTCCAAGAAAGTGGCTCCTTTATTAGATACACATGCTTGTTAAAGACAACAGTCATCTCATTTCAACAACAAACCGTGCGGCTGCAGCTCAATCTAAACAGCATGTGGACAGGGGTCAACCAGTTCACTTACTGCTAACGTAGACATTACAATGAACCACTTGATTATATGTTGCCAGATGCAGCAGTTCCATCACGCCGCATTGGCCCTCCGGCATCTTTTATACAATGCAGACAAAGATGTATGTGCAAAAAGTATCTGTATAGTGTGACATGTTTAAGGTGGGGACAGAGTTAAATAGAAACAAACCTTCTCTTAGGTGTGTCAAGCTGGTAGTGTTTTGAAATAAAAGAAATTCGTCATATATTTATCTGTGACCAGTCTACCTTTGTTGAATATTAACAGAAATGTGTGACAATATTATCTTGTTCAGAAACTTCCACCAGCAATAACTTTTCATAAAATATATCAGCATTCACAGCACCCATGCAAACGTTTTGACATTCAACTGATTCTGAGACAGCTAGACCAATAATATTGAGCCAAAATTAATCGAAGCTTCCATAACCAATCTTGTCGAGCACAAAGCTGTTTCAAAAGCAGCTTATGGTTTGAAATGTGAAATATTTGTCTATAAATTATTCTCTATTCTGTGTGCTGCTGATGTATGATGACCTCCAGCTTTGGATGGGCTGTCTGGTTGGTCTAAACAAGATCCATAAAACAGCCGGGAGCAGGCTTAGCCAAAGGAAAGGCAGACAAGCTCGCACTGATGAGAGCTGCAGAGCTGGTGCATCATCAGAGTCCACGAACACAGACATGGTCATTAATCACTCTCTTCTTACGACCAATGACACAACAGGCCTGGATTATTCTGTACAATTTACTGTGCTTATGAATTTATGTATTAATTAAATGATTGCCATCAACAGTTTCCTTGAATTCCAAACCAAATCTGTCACATTTGTTTGGTCTATTGAACCAATCGAGAATAAAACAAATGGACAGAGGTGAAACTATAACCTTGTCAAAGGCAACTATTTCTCTGAGAGGAACTTAAACCAGTGATGCCACCATTTCACTTTGTCTCTGCATCACGGTGCACCTGTGGCTTGTAACAGATGCAGTGCATATCAATCACATTCAGTTTTCTTTACTTTAACTATTATCATTTATTTAATTAAAGGTGTGTGTGTAGAATTTTGCGTTGAAATTGCATGTTGCAGCTAAAATATAAGTACAATCAGGTTCAGAGCTAAAGGATGACATCAGCATGCTAACATGCTTACAAGAACATTGCTAACATGCTGAAGGTATAATTCATCTGTTCATCATGAGGGGAAACTTTATCTACCAATGTTATTGCTCTCCATCTGATATTTCATCAAGAAGCTGCTGATGGCACTCAAGTCAGAGGATCTGCAAAGTCATTCAGAATCATCCTTTGGTGGAAATCTATTATGTAGATGTTGAGGTATGACAGTTCACCCAATACTTGAGTTATAGAGTTAAAGACTGCTCAACTTGTTGACTAACAGATCGACAGGCTGATAATTTTTCAGAACGCAGCCCAATAACATACAACTCTTCCTCCGAAGTGACTGGATTTAACTGTGTACTCTCAAACACTCAGAAATGTGCATACATGTGTGATGCACGTGGGTGTGGTGACTCATTCACAGGAAGTGTGTGAATACCATTTAACATATGTTACCTCCACACACTTTACCTCAAATTACCATAAAACATGTCTGCATTCACAGTCATGTGACTCCATATGGATCTAACAGTAACACAGGCACACGGCCCATCACAGCCTATGTTCCCACTGAGCTCAGAGACATCTCAAATAACCATTACGGCTGGCTTGTCAGATTACAGATAACACTTGTTCATGAGCAACACGTAGGTTGTTCATTCAAATGACAAAGAAAACATCCAATTCCAATTAGTTGACCTATTTCTCAGCTATTTAGAGAATGTGAAACACTTAATGATGAATAATAATACAATGCAAAGTTATGAAAATGATTCAGTTCATGTCAGTGTCAAAGAATGAAAGAACTGACAAAAGAACATCCTTTGCCAAAAGAACTCACCAGTTACAGTCAAATATTATCTAAAATACCAGTGTTATGAGACAAACCTGCCACACAAGTGCTGCTCTTAATGCAGACGGTCTTTTCTGGCCCTCTGTGACTATGAGATCCAAATGTTTCCACAACAAAACCTTGCCTGACTCAACTTCTCCTTTGGCAAGAGATTTTATTATGGAAATTAAATAATTTGTCTTCCAGCAGAAGGCCTGATCTGATCTCAAGTCCTAACCTCGTCTCAGTCCAGTACACTGCACACACAATCTGTGAAAGCTGAGTGGAATAACTACAGGTGAATTTTAAATACAGAAAAATATTATTTGCTGGTGCAGCCATGAGAGATGACAAATGCTCTGCTGCAGAGTATATATATCATAGTGAATGTGTGCATATCTGTATGAACTGTCTGAATATGTCACACACATGAAAAATGCATCACAAAAACGAATATAGTACTTGTGCAACTTGACAGACACATCAGTCTATTAACCACAGCGATAAATATAAAAATCTAATTTGTGGAAACACTGAATGCTGAACTCAGCAGCCATGTCTTTTATTCATTAGTTCATCAAGTATTTATATAATGTTGGAATCGTTTGGACCAAATAAAAAAAGAATACACTTGTGACCAATTCATTAGACAAGCAAACATGTGCGATGCATTAATTATACTGACAGACAAGGGGAACAAATACGGAATAATGAATCCTTTAATAAACTAAGGAAGTGTGAGTTTCTGTTGAAGTTGAGGCAGGCGCTGCACTGAATACTAAAACCAAACGGCAGCAAACAAGAAAAACAAAGAGGCAGGGCTGCTGTAAAGCAACAAGGAACCCACAAAGGGTGAGACAGTCATGCTGCCCTGTGACAGTATGAGCAGGCAGCACACCCAGCTGGGACAACAAAAGAAGAACCAGTTGATTGACTGCACACAATTCCTATTTGCTCAAGAGTTTCTATTATGCATGCAGTGAATGGACATTAAATTCTGTGGTGTAATCTGATATACCACCAAATATCCTGCAGGTGAAGCAGATGTAAACTGTTCACACACTCATTCTGTATTCCAGACAGCAATATGTAATCAACACAGCTGAGTGCTGACCTCTACTGGTTTCTTAACATAGTGAGAAAGTCTGGGAAAGGGATCCTCTGATACAGTCCCTGTAGTGATGAGATGCCACAATTCAGATTGAAAACGATTAATCAAACCCAAATGTGTCTGTAACAGTCTCTACACCTGCTTGTTCTTAGCTGACTTCTACAAAGGAACCATATCCCAGTTTAGTGAAAACTACACTGCGCTATATACTACACTAAACATAATTCTATCCAGTTTTAGGAGTGCGAGCTACTAGAGTTATATAGAATTGCACTGACTAAGAGTTGGGTGGAGTCACAAGAGACAGATTTCAGTAAATACTGATTAAAACTGAAGCAGCAGTGGTCACAATATTAGATCACAGAAAGAGGAACGGCTGTACAATTCCCATACTACAAGTCAGAAGTGTGTTTCATCAAATCCTCCTTAAAGGTCGTTTCTTTCAAAACTCATCCCTTCAGTTGGTTAAGAGGGTGTTCTGATAAATGCTTTCATTCTCTGGCTCAGGCCAATATGACCCTGATGACATAACCATCATGTTTCTAAACTTTAAGTCCATATCCAAAGATGGCAGTGTTGTTTTCATAGGCTGAGGAACACACTTCCTGTGTAGAATCAATTTTGAAGTATAGCTTTAACCCCCTTTTTTTAATACATCACCACAAATTACTGACTCCATCAGAGAGCAGGAAAAACTGGAACAGCATACCAGTGTTTTCAGGATCTATAGGCTAGACACATACGGTATGTTAGCTATGAAAACACTAGGTTTGGAATTAATAAGGTACTCAGTACTTGATTGTACTTTGTGGTGGTGGTGAGCATGGCCATCCTCCTGAGAGAATGTCTTGGCTTTTAACACAAATCAGGAGAATAACTTTGTAAATGTAAGTGAAATGTCAGGGGAAATATGCATCTCACATAGCAATATCAAGTACAAGACAGGTTATATAAGTATGCCTATAAATGGGAAAAACTTAAACCCGCAGGAGGGCGGTGATAAAGTGACTGAATAAAATGAAATATTATACATACGGCACTTGAATGTCCTTACGTGGAAGCTTTGTTTTACTCACAATTATTAAAGCATTGATTTGAGATTATTCTATCATTTTAGTTTTTTCTTTATGTTTAGAGTACCTCTGATGAGAGGAGTTCCTAGTAGCTAATAGATGTATTTTGATGGCAAAGAAATTTGATTAAAAGATCAAATATAACTCAAAAATGCAAAAAGGATGCACACAAAAAGAGCTGCTGGGTGAGGTGACGTGGGATTAGGGTGAAGTGAAACTGTTATTCAGCTTGTGTGTGGCTGTAATGGCCAGGCTGCAGCAGCTACACATACAGCAGCAGTCAGACCGGTGCTGGGTAACTTTGACCAATTCTGAGACGTGTAAAGCTGAAACAAATGAGGTCACGCTTTAGCCGATGGGGACACGAGGATATCAAACAAATGCAAATCATTTCCGAGCACAAATAAATCTGCATGAGTCATATTTCTGTCTGTGTGAAAATCATCTTCCAATTTCTTACCCAACACCAAAGGGGGATAACTAGAGAGTAGTAAATTAAATTCAAAGCCCTCTCTGCACCATGACTGACATCCATAGTGGATCACTTTTTGACAACCAGTTACACGAAACTTCATCCTCACAAACACGCAAACACACCTCAGGGCCATCAGTGCAGCCTGAGGTGGAATTCTTCATCTGGGATACATGTGATTGGTTCCAACATTAATGAGGAAGAAAAGCTTTGTCTTTACCTGAATTGTGCCGAAGTCCACGTTTTCATAGTGGAAGTGAGCGCACTCTGCCAGTTTCGGGAAGTGGCCCTTGGTAAAGCAAAGTCTGGAAACATAACGCACACATACTCAGTTTGGTTAGCACTTCATCCTCTGCAACACCTTGGAGTGTGTATGACTAGTATAGGGAGGAGAGTGCAGCGTAAACAGAGGGAGTGAAAGGAGGAGGAAGACACAGAAATAGACACAAAGAATGGAAGCAACTCAAGCAGGAAACAGAGGAGATAAACAGCTAGTAAGGAGAAATAAATAGAGTTGAACTGAGGGAAGGAGAGATGTGAGAGAGATGGATCAGACAGCCACAGGCAGGTGTGTGTATCTGTACTGTACATGTGTGTGTGTGTGTGTCTCTATTTACTCACTTCTTGACATTCTTGACCTTCATGCTGGCCGTGCTGCTGCTGCACGAGCGCATGAGGGGCTCGGCCCGCAGCTCAGGGATCTCTGCACTTCTTGCCTACAATGCACAAACACACACGCAAACATTATGGTGACGCATACAAATACATCTCTGCTACTGTTCGACTGCTTGACAATTTTCCGGTTAGGCTTTGCCGCACCATTCAAATAGCAGACTTTGAACTTTCAAGCACATTCAAGTCCACTGATTGTAAACCTCACTGACTGCTCAATGTCAAATCATCTGTCATCCATCATCTAAAGTGGTGTTTAGTGAAATGACCTGGGAACCTGAGCACATGAGACATTCATGGTAAACAAACCTTATATAGGAACAGTGACCGAATCAGGCAGGTCTGCATGAGAAGAAGTGAATTTCATAATCAAGATGTTTGTCATTTCATGACTAACAAAGCCCTGGTAGTTTGTTTACAATTGTAAATCCACTGGATGAGTGAAGCATCAGTCTGATGAAGTCGAGTGGTGGATTTTTACTTTTAATCTCTCATGACTGACTTGTGCAGGGCATCCTATGATTTCATTAAAGGTTCAGTGTGTAGAATTTAGTGGTTGAATTTGCATGTTGCAGCTGAGCATCCCTCACCTTGCCCTCCTCTTCCAAACATAAAAAAAACCTGTGGTAGCGTTAAATTTTAACTTCCCCTTTTCTTTGCATCACATTATATCTGCATCACTCCTCTTACTTTCATTTCTACAAACAATCACACACCAGATATTTTGGGATGTGTGACACATGATCATGTTTTTAATATAGTCTATTTCTCAAATAGCTATTCCTCAGTAATCCTTGTTCTGAGTACGAGATCATTCCGTAGATTCACTGTAGTTACATAGTTTGTGATAAGCAGAAATTCTGTTGAACAGGTCTGCAGTATATTGGCTTTGCAAGATTAGTTTTTTGAAAAGAGAGAAGATGACAGAGGCTTTTTTCAAACCTGCTTCATGTTGTCTTAACTCTAAACAATCACTATCAGCATCAGAAACCAAGACAAGCAAATGCAGATTCCAAGGGGAGCTTAGTTACAGAGCTTGGTGTACGAGCATATATGAGGATATCATTCCACCACAGCTTGTTAGCTAAACACCCAGCGATCAAACTTTTCTACCCAATAGCAACTCCTGTGACTCACCTCAGGCATATATGATACAGATCTAATATCAGTTCTCTTTTAACCAATGTTAAAATCGGTTTGCTTAACTGTGAGATAATACGAATAAATTGTGTCATTTTAAATTAGCGAGCATTTGTTTTTGGTGGCATGCTTCATTTTTTAAATATTTATCAGATAACAGGGACCCTGGATTTTATAATAGCACTGACACTTAGGCAGATCTGATTGGTCGGTGTGATTCTGTCACGCTTGACAGAAAACCTGATCCAGTTGTTTGTATGGGTGCATTCCTATTGGAATGTTTTTCCATGCCATGCAAAAAAACAAACAGACATCGGCTCAGAGTGTGTTGGTGTATAGATTACTGCTTATAACACATTAACCACTTCCCATAATGGATAAACATGCTTTTAGTTATCAAAATGTCACCTTGTACTGAAACATCATGATGAAACCTATATTTTAGTTCATTACAGTCTTTGGTCAAGACATCAGCTCCACACAAAGATGCATGAATGGTTCGATCCCCCCCATTATTCTTTCACTAAGACACTCGCTTGCTTCATTTGGCTTAAATCGAACGTGCAAAAATGCAACTTTGGTCAACATAACATGAATAGAGCCTGGGAAATCTATTTTGGTGCAGGCAGATTTTATTAGTGAATGTATTCATTTTGTTTTAATTTCAGAAAACTGACAACAGGTTGTTGAAAGGGACCCGGGAAACAAAATAACTTTAAAATGAAGGTGAGGAAAAAAGACAAAAACACATTTATGAGAAGGTAATTCAAAAAACTCCATAGTACAAAAAGCATGTGTAAGAAAACCGCCCCAAAGAGCTGCTGGCCATGTGAGGTGTGAATGAGACAAAGCTGTGAAGCGACAGCCAGACGGTCAGTGACAGTAAAGGTGGTATGCAGATGAGCTCAGCCGAGACAGTTCACCTCTGTCCAAGGTGTTAACTGGACATGTCTGACAGAGGTGGACATGGGACAGCAACTGTTCATCGTTATATTTGCACTTCCCTGTGTTCATAAACAAGCTAGCAGGCCGGCCAGAGAGGGTTAATTTTTTTGCATGAGCTTAACCAAAAACAGACTAATAGTGTGGTGCATACCAGCACTAAGAATTCTTCTTCTTTGGTCTGGCAGAGTAGAGACATTTTGATGGTGACATGCCTAAAAAATTAAGAATACTTTTCAAGGCCTTTGAAAACTTTGTAAAACCCAATTCATGGAATAGTAAGGCTTTATAAG